TTATACTGAAGATATGTTTTATGTCTTATGCATGTTTCAGTTAATGGGAATTATTTAGTTGAAAGTCCTATAATTAGTACCCAATTAAATTGAATTTATTTCTAAGAATTGAAACTATGGGGTCTGTGGAATCAAGTGTTACTGCATACCACTAAAAGACACAAATCATTGTTCACTGTTCAAAAAAGTGTCAATAAATCACAGTGTTGTTTGATTTCAGGGATGAAAATGGTGATGGGGAGGACGCAGAGAAAAAGAAGTTCCAAAATCAACTCTCAGGTGAACGACTGAACATCTGCATTGAATGAACATAGAGAGACATGCAGTAGTTAAATGTCATTGTGGGACATTTCAGAAAATAATAAATGCTTTGATCCATAACCTGTTAAATAAACCCATCTCTCTCACAGGTGCCATTGTCATGGAAAAGCCAAACATCAAGTGGAACGATGTAGCTGGACTAGAGGGAGCCAAAGAAGCCTTAAAAGAAGCTGTGATCTTGCCCATCAAATTCCCTCATCTGTTCACAGGTACTGAAAACAAGAGTCGACTTTAAACCTGCTGAAAATGAATAGTATTTAATATCACAGTATCTGTTTGTGTAGGAAAGCGAACACCTTGGCGGGGGATCCTTCTGTTCGGCCCTCCAGGAACAGGGAAGTCCTACCTGGCCAAGGCAGTAGCCACAGAAGCCAACAACTCCACCTTCTTCTCCATCTCCTCCTCAGACCTGGTGTCCAAGTGGTTGGGGGAAAGTGAAAAGTGAGGCACAGGTTCTGTATGTGATAAAAAAAAAAACAGGGAATATGATAAACTGACAATAAAACAACTACTGTTTCTCTCTCCAGGTTGGTGAAGAACCTGTTCAGTTTAGCCCGAGAACACAAACCATCCATCATTTTTATAGACGAGATCGACTCTCTCTGTGGCTCCAGGAGCGAGAACGAGAGTGAAGCAGCGCGCAGAATTAAGACAGAGTTCCTCGTCCAGATGCAGGGTGAGCAAGAAGAGACCACCTCAAAATCTGAGCAAAAATCTGAATAGCAGTACTTTATGAGGTGTAAGAAATGCCATTCTCCCCCTCTCAGGTGTTGGGAATGATAACGATGGGATCCTGGTCCTGGGAGCTACAAATATACCTTGGACCCTGGACTCAGCAATCAGGAGAAGGTAACTTATATAAGAAATAATGCCTGGGTTCTCAAACAGACATTTAAGAGGTTAAATGCTTTATAACGCCTGATTACATCTTTTGTCTGTCCTAGGTTTGAAAAACGAATCTACATTCCTCTGCCCGAGGAGCACGCCCGCTCCTTCATGTTCAAACTGCATCTGGGCTCCACCCCCAACAACCTGACCGAGGCAGACTTCATCACTCTGGGCAAGAAGACGGAGGGTTACTCTGGAGCGGACGTCAGTGTTATCGTTAGGGACGCCCTCATGCAGCCTGTCAGGAAGATTCAGTCAGCCACTCACTTCAAAAAGGTAAAAACACACAGTTCACCTGTGCTGTTTTATTCTGAAAGTCTGTCGGAACTCCAGCAGGAACATAATGTTCCAAAATAAGAACATATCTCAGCAGCTATTGGATGGATTTAGTCTTTCATACATACATATTTCTTTGCTGATCCCTTCACTTTTCACCTAGCACCATAATCAGGTCAACATTATACATTTATACACTGCCTGAACACAACTGTATGAATCTGTCAAACTAGGAACATAATTAACTACCCAGTATCTAATTTAGTATCTTCTTTGTGTCCTTCTGTCCATCCACACACAAACGCACATTAATTAAGGTTCGCGGATCAACGTGGAACAATCCAGGCGTTGTGGTGGAAGACCTCTTGAGTCCGTGTTCGGCAGGTGATCCCAACGCCATAGAGATGACGTGGATGAACGTTCCTGGGGAGAAACTTCTAGAGCCGGTCGTGTGCATGGTGAGAAAAGACTTCCAATATTTACCTCAAAGGAAAATGGCATTATTTTAACCAGTTTAAAACATTTTACAAAAGTGTCAGTGTTAGGACTGCAGCGATCCGCGTTTATCGTGACCTCTCTTGATATTTTCTGTGCAGGCTGACATGCTGAGATCACTGACAAGCACCAAGCCAACAGTGAATGAGCAGGACTTGGACAAGCTGAAGAAGTTTACTGAGGATTTTGGTCAAGAAGGCTAAGAATACTCTTCACTTACCGTGAATGCAATTAAGTTTTTTTCAGTTGTACTTTGGATTATTCAATCAATCTTTTGGTCCGTAGTGTCTAAAATGGTTAAAAACTTTGTATCACAGGTTACTGGAGCCCAAAGTAAACATTACTTAAAGATGTGAAGAAACAGAAAAGCAAGCTTATATTATGGTTTTAATTGAAGATTAAGATGCTTAACAGCTGATGTTTGCTGGTCTTACTGGAGAATTGACTAAAATGATTAACCGATTATCAAATTCTTAATTTACCGCTTGTACGTCGAACAACTATTTAATCGTTTCAACACTATTTTATTTACTACTGAGGCTTGTTTTTACATCTGCGTAAGTAGGTTTTATATTGTTTTACTTGATTATTTTATTTTGCATGTCTCAAACCAAAGTGATAATAATCTTTATTTTTTTTACCACCACCATCACTGTACTAGGATATGTGCAGTAGTTAGTGGTGCTACAGTGGGTAGATGCACATTTTCAACACAGCATACCTCTCAATATAGTCTATGGAGGGTTATATTGCACTTTACACAATCAGTTTTGGGGTTGGCTTTTATAAATAGTCATTTATACTATAAAAAGTATGAATTTTATCAACATGGAAACACACCCTTTTTACTGCTTGTTTTTACTAAACAAACACAGTTCAAACTTCCAAATGCCTTCTGAGTTTGTATTAAGTTACAAAACTTTTGTATGAAACATACAATATTGTAAAATGTAATGTAATAATGCTTTCAAAAGCATGTTTTTAAATTCTGATCAACTTTGGGCAAAGAAGTTTTTTCTACTCTTCTACAGTTTCAACTCTCAGACTTCTGAATTACTTATAGCTATATGCTGTCAGTATGTGTGAAATACATCTTTATTTAAACGTTTCTTTTGGGGTTTACAGAGGTGACTTTCTGGTTGCATAAATAAAACTTGTTGAGGTGGTTATTTGCACTTTTGTTGTACCCTACATGACATGTTCTGTGAACTGAAGTCTCAGGGTTAAATAAACAACACAAAACAAAAGAACAGGAGTCATTATTAACTTTGTGAATATATTTAATTGTTAAAATACATCTCTTAGTTAAGTGTCATATATTTGTATTTTATATGCAGGGTAGATCGTGGTTTAATTCGTACATTTGATAAGAGAAATATAATTAATGATATAGTTAATTTTCACATTATTAAACAATTTAAGCCCTGTAGAAAAATGACATCAATGTTACTCTGCTTGCACAAGCTGATCATTTGCTAAAATGGAATAATTTGGAAATACAAGTCTCCTACATCTTCCGTTAGTGCCATTGATAAAGATATGAAGTCTCTTTTTTTGAAAAGCAGACCACAAATGTTCTACTGAGCAGAATACAAGGTCAATACAGCTATAATTAAGATGAATAATGGGGAAAATCTGACAATATTCAAGTCATTTGGATTGAAAAATAAAAATCCCGGCCAACTAAAATGTAACTAAATCTCAAGAGACTGACCTGATTGGTGTTTGTGCATACTGCACCGGGCCTAATGAAATGAAAACCAAAATATCAATTCATACACATTTCAAATGAAATGACAAGTATGAGGCAACAGCTGCCAATGAAAAAATAAAAACATAAATAATGCATGCAGATATATGAGTATGAGGAGTGACGTCCCTTTTCACTTCAAAGCACATTGTGTAAATGCCAGTGTTTGTTCATACGTAGACTTATTTGTGGTGATGACAACATCGGACATCCATCACAACCAGATTCCACCAAATGGGGTTCAATATGCTACAATGTAGGTCATTATTGCTTTGTGTATGTGTGTGCACTCCTCTTTACACAATTCTACTCTCAGACTGCGTCCACCACAAATAAACGGAGGAGCCGAAAAAACACTGCATTATTCACAACCCGAAACAGACAAGTAATATATGTAACAACGTAAAAATACAGTATACATAGAGATGAACACAAACCAGTAAAAAAAAAAAAAAACACCAGTAACACATCTATTAAGGTAATTCTGCAAATATAAAGAACAAATGTGCTCCATGAAACACCCTTGAAAAACACTGAGAGGACCTGAAATGTACATAAAAGGAGTAGTTTCCCATCATTTAAATAACTCTTAAAAGTGAGTAATGGTTGTATTTTTTGGTTAAGAACATTCCTATTCAGACAACACAAAGGAGGTGGGGAACTGCCACATAAGGCATATGAGAAAGTGCTAACAGTATTTACTGTATATATATAGGACACATACGGAGTAATTCACTGCCCATCACAATCATGCTTCATAGATGGAAGTAGCCCAACAGACACATTTTACTCCAACTCATGTGATGGCACAGAGAAGAAGCCAAATGCTGCAAGTACGGGGTAACAGTGTGCTGCTAAATGCACAATAATCAAGCTACTAGAAGACAGAAAACAGAGAGCCAAGTGCCAGACCAGTTGCTGCTCCAGCGAGCATGCCCAGGGCCACATCTCCTCCGTCGTCACGCTGGCGTTCGCGAATAACAACGTGGTTCACTCCAGGAGCAGGGTACCCACCTAAACCATAAAACCATAATGTTTTGTGCAGGCAATGTAGATTAAAAAAAAGACAAAGCGCTTGAGAGTGTACGCTCCAATACAAAAACATATGGAAAGTATAATAGTGTTTATCAAAGCATCAACTGGACTTGATGGGCGGTTATTTACCTTGGTACTGGTAGGGATAAGCTACAGCGTAGGGCTGCCCATCAGCAGAGTATACAATCTGTGTAGCCTGTTGTGGCGCTGTAACGTACTCTCCATACAGACCCGGGGCAAAACCCTGCTGGGAAATGAAGAAAAGGCCATTAAGACTGTGTTGATCCTCTGCGGGAGGCCAGTACCAGCACATCACTAAAGAGTCATTTGATTTAGTGTTAACTTCACAAATACTGCTTAGTGGAGCTTTTACACTTCCATTACTACACCAGTAGATGGTGGTAGGCTCCAACTGTGTTTGTTGTTATGCAATAGTATTTTTTTTCTTCTTCTATAACCTAGCATGTTACCTTAGTTTACCCCTAAAAAGGATCATTGTCAATTCAAGACAAATTGTGTAGTGGAACATAAAGAGTGATTAAATATGACATACAGTGAAAATTATGAATTCAGTATAATCAGATTATATTATACATAACCTAATCAAATATTTTTATACCTTTAACAATGATTGTCTTCTGCTGTAGATGTAAACAGTGACTCATTATAAATAAAAACAAATTGTACCTTTAAAACACTGGTAACAATCCTATTTTACTCAACTCGAGGTTTACTCAACTGAGTTTGGCCATTTTATTGAGGAAAAGAAAGTAATGTTAAAGCCTGAAATGTAAAAGTTACATTGCCAGTAGCTTTAAAAAAAAAAAAAAAACTGTGTTAAACCAAAATTAACATAATTTTATCCATATGCATACTGTTTATGCCTTTTACCTGGGGTGGGGCATATTCTGAGTAGGGGGGCGGAGCAGATGCCATCACTTCCTGTGCAAATCCGACCTGAGGAGAAGCAACCACCTAAAAATAAAAAAAATCAACAAAAATGAGGCCACCTCGCCCGACAGTGGAGAATGAACACTAACAGAACTGAGCTACGTGACATTTGGACAAATGGAAACCATCGTAAAGACAACTCCTCCTGCTGCACGGAGGTTATCGTCATAGAGGTATAATGAAAACACACAATACACATACACACATAACAAGACTTGTTTCACACAGCCGGAAAAACAAGTAAGAGAAATCAGTCTTACATTCTTATTTTGGTAAACAAATTAAAACTCAAGTGACTGAAGGTGTAGCAGAAACTCACCATATTAATTCTGGCATCCTGCAGTGCCATGGTCCATGCCCTGCAACACACAGTGAAAACCACGTCATCTTGGATGTAAAATACGCAGAATACAAACAACTAACACTTTCAACTTCAACAACGCAGAAACAAAAACACAGAGGACACAATCATTCGTCAAACTGGTGATATAATGACTCAGCATGTATGTGTTGCCTTACAGAGCATCATCTGCACTGTCCGCACACAGGCTGATGACCCGTCCATCTCTGCACACTATCTGGAGCAGAGCGTCACGCGTCTTCCCTTCCGGTGGGTTCAGCTCTGAGGAGCAAAACAACAGGACAAATATAGAGGTGACACATTTAAAAAGAACAACAACAAAAAAACAATATCAAACAAAAGTTGGTCGGTAACTGTCTGTGTGAGCCAAAGACATCCTCGCGCAGGAGATGACAAATACCTTGACACGCAGCAGAGTTGCGGATGTTAATGCAGTCGACCCTCAGGTGGATGTCGTCCTCCATGTCACGCCGTTGTTGGTTATAATAGAACACAAGTCGTCCATCGGCCCACAGGTCAAACCAATTCTTCTTCCACCGACGCAGAATGGTACCTTTAATACAAATACATTACAGTTAAGTTCAATCCAAACTGAATCAAAATAAAAACAGGCAAAAGAAAAGAAATGCACATAAAATGTAACAGCAGCTTCACCATCTGGATATCAGGTAATGTTTGTAAAATGCTGTTAAAGCTGTGGATATGTCTGGGTACTCACTTTGTCGATGGAGCCAACCACTCTTTACCATAGCCATCTTAGAGGCAACACCTAAAACAATACAATATATACATTAGACAAGGAAACTAACTGCTGATGGCTGGGCGTAGCCAAACGAACCTCGTGACTGTGAGTACTATTAGCTTTAGTCCAGAGTATAGTCTGAATAAAATGGAAAAGCTATACACAAGGGAGCACCTGGCTGCCGTTATTGATTTAACCACGTTAAGATAAACAAAAGACACCACAGCAGTTTATCATGAGACTAGACTCAATCTGAGCTCATGAAACCACAGTTATTAATTACATCATTAGTAGAAGCTAGAGAAAGATAGTAGTTCATTTACAGTGCCAGGACTTTCACTTTTTGTATGAATCGGTCACTTTTTTTTTTACTGGTTTTACTGGACGTCAGTTAGCTAACATATATACGGTAACAAATAATGGCTTCATGTGACAATAGGCCAGTGGTGAATATGTCATCCTCATTCCTCATTAATACAAGTTGAAATGGAGAAAGTCCTGAATATTGACCGCAATAACTCCACAATCTCTTGAAGCAATTCACACGTTTACCCGGCGTCACTGTGTACATTGCTCTGTAAACCAAACACAGCTCAAGTTAGCTAATGTTAGCGATAACTAACGTTGTTTATAAAACGCTCAACATGTCAGCAGCGAGCCGACCTAGCGTCACTGCTTCATGTGGGCATAGTGAGCTAAAACACTAACACGGTACATACAACGTTAAACAGTAAAGCGCTGAGTTAATGAAGTACTTACTTGTTTGTTTTTTTTGAAACGCTGTGTTTCAAGAAAAGTCTTTCGTGAGGACACAGCAAACACAGAAGAGAGATGTGCGAAAAAGAGGATGCGCCCCTCGGAGTGAAACAGGCGGATCAATGAACCGAGAGGAGACAGTGTGTGTGTGTAGAGCAGCTGTCGTCACTAAGCCCCGCCCACTGAGCATCTTCACTAACGTTCACGATCTTTGTGCTACTTCTTCTTCTTCGTTGGGTTTAATGGCGGACTGCAATCCCAACTTTTAAGGTGCATACCGCCACCTGCCGGACGTACAACAGACTGCAGTGGAGTTTATTCTGGACTATCAAAAAACAACAACTGCTTTCTATACTCTGCCTTAATTATTTACCTGTCTATTAATTCGCTGGTCAGATGTTAGTCGTTGATGTACACTTAAAATAAAATAAAATACAATAAAATACAATACAATAAAATAAATAAAAAGTTGGTCACATAAAAACCCAACAACTATATTCTGTGTTTACTAAGACATCTCTCCACACATATCTCCATTTGTTCCTATCATCCCTTCCAAATCCCATCCTCGTTCGGCCTCTCTCACACTTTGTTGTAAGCTTACACTTTCTTTATCACATTTGAAACATGTTGAACATTTACATTACAATGCACACATATTTCTTAATTGACTTTCCCCAATAGAAATAGTGTCTTATTCTTATTATTATGTATATTTGTAATCAAATCTTAATCTGAATAGAACTACGTCCTCTCTTCTACACCTCCCTTTATCACTGTGCTCTCACTTTGTACTGGATAGTATGTTCTGCCCTTAACTGTACTCATCCCACCTTTTCTGTCCAAATGTTTTCTTTTTGTACCTTCCCCCTTTCAACTGGTATGTCCATTATATGGCCCATAGTTAGTGCTCCTTTAGCCACCCTGTCTGTGCATTCATTACCCTTTAATCACACATGTGCAGGTACCCAACACAATTCTACATCAATACCCAACTCTGAATTTTAAATAAACCTTAAAGCATTTCAAACATTTGATGTTCCCTGAGTCAGTACTTGTCTGGTCTCCCTTCTTCCACCCACTGAAGAACAACGACTGCAGCATCATTCATCTGTACTTCTGTGTCTTAAAAGGAACTGTTATTACACGATCCTTTTGATATGCTGAGTCATCAGTAAGAATATGAAGGTCATTGATTCCTTTATACTGGTTTACAGTGTCCATTTTGCTTTCCACCCAGTATTTGATACAACTCCATGATGCTAAAATCGACCTTTGTTTTAGGACACAGTAATGGGGGGACATTGCTTTTAGAGGCAGGGGAGTTAAGCCTCGTTCCTCCAGTGTCATATTCCTCTCACTTATCCATTTCCCTTAGATCTGTCACACTCCCAGCATCCATACGGTCCTCTCTCTGTGAGGGAGGGAGGCGTTTGTTTTGCATGACGTAACCTGTCAGCTGACAGCTGTGGAAAGTGCTGGCAAACTCAGCAGAGGCGCGCTCGCTCCTGTCTTCCCTCACACCGTGGATGTGGAAACAGCTGTGTTCAACATGGTTTACACCGAGAGAGCATCGACCTAATGCAAACCCCTCAGCCATTAAATGATTCTCATACAGGGACTGGGGATGCAGCGGATCATTTCCTGGGTGAAATAGGTGTTTTATGAGCACAGTGAAGTACACACTGAGACAGGGTTGACAGTGTTGCTTTTAATTAAGCGAATACGGTGTAAAAGCGGCAGCAAGCGACGCAGCAGAAGACCAGGAGTGGACATTGTGTAATGATATGAATCTAAACACAAAGCTGAGTTTTATTTGAGCTATTCAGTCCGAGACAACAGCGGCTGTCTGCTGCGCATGCGAGTCACAAGCTCACACAGGCAGAAAAGTTGTATCCTGTGAACCGAGAGTGCATGTGTGGAGGGAAACTGACACTGCTGCAGGGGGACTCGTCTCATTGCCGCCCAAATAAGACAGCGACCACAAACAGAGAATACTAATCTCCAAGCCACTGACCGACGGGCAGCCCAGGATTGTAAAACAAGCCCTCCGACCAACAGTTAAGGAGCTAACGAAAATAACGCAGAAGCTAAATAGCTCAACTGAAATGGCGACGGCAATATACTTGGAACATTACCTTGACAGTAAGTAACCGGGGAAACACGCGATTATTACGTACAATTTGAACATCTTCCGTCTGCTTGGGGTTTAGTTTAATTGTCTCCCAGACTTTTCTTTGCTCGGCGGGTGACTGGCCGAGAGCGTTAGCCGCCAGGTCACTAGCTCTCTAGCTAACCGATTAGCATTGCGATAAAGCCTTCACTGGTTCAAAGTGAGGTGAACTCTCTCCGTGTGTGGAGTTATACTCACACACAGCCTGATGGAAACATGGACATATGTTACGGCTATCAGCAGCTCTAGTTAGATAATGTTCGGTTGTCTGTTTCGGGCTCAATCACACAGTTAACTGTTAGCGGCTAGGCGACTAGCAACTAGCAGTGGTTTTATAAGGTTGTTCAAAATGTCGTTTTCATACTCAGCATTATAAAACGTATCAGTTGTGTGAATGTGGTCAACGTCCGTGTTTGCTGTAGGACAGCAGACACCGTGCATCTGCAACCTGTTGCTAACCGCGTTTCCCGTAACCACGCACCGGGGCGGGCTGTTTGAAGTGCGTCACACAGTGTAACGACGAGCACACGGGCTCTGACGCTTCAGTCTTCACATGGCATGTTTAACTAACTATCGGCGTTTGTTCTAACGAAGACTTATCGGCGTGTTTAACTACACTGATCGCGGCGGGGCCGTGTTTAACGTGACTATCGGCATTTAACTAAACTATCGCGTCTGTTTAACTAAGACTATCGCATGTTTAACGTCGGTAGGAGCGGTAGATCGGGATGTTTAACTAAACTCATCGCGTGTTTGTAAACTAAAGCTATCGGCGTGGGTCTTAGAACTGGACGTATCGGGCGCGGCGTGCTTTAACTAGACTATTCGCGTTCGTTGCTTAACTCAACTATCGCGATATTGTACTACGACTATCGGGCGGTGTTTAACTAGACTATCGGCTTTTAACTAAACTATGCGCGTGTTTAACTAACTATCGGCGAGTATTTAACTAACTATCGGCATTGTAACTACACTATCGCATGTTGTTTGTAAAACATCGGGATATTTAACGTTACATTGTACAGACGTACCAAAGCAGTCAATGAAGCCTGAGCTCGTTATTGGCATTTTTTGTTAAATGGTGAATGCTTTGCAAGAAAATCTTGACTTTTTAAGAAGCAAAAATACTTTGTATTTCTGGTATAGAAACATTTTATTAGTAGTTTTAATGTATTTAAATTCTGAACAATAATTAATTTATACATATATAAATAAATATATATATGTAGTTTGCAATTAATATAATAATATTGCCTGTGTTGCCTAAAAACGGAATTAATCTGTGTATGTATTTGTTCCTGTACATGGTTTTAAAGCAGTTGTAACATTGGGTGATTTTGGCACTATGAGTTAGGGCTGCACAAAGCTGCAATTTCTGATAAAAATAGAATGTGTGTCACAAAGCATTATCAGTAAGTACTGTAGTGCTGCAGAGGTCTTGTTTTCCTGATGTAGGAAAACATGTTTGTTTGGTACGGACCCAGCCCTAAAATGGATTATCTCCCTGGTTGTCTCTCTCATCTTTATGTCATTCTCTCCTCTAGGTATTGAAAACCTACCATGTGAGCTACAGAGAAACTTTACTTTGATGCGGGACCTGGACAATAGGACTGAAGGTGATAAGTTAATCTCATTAAGTTATTATCTGAATTATTCCTAATTAATTTAGCTTTGACATGTCAAAATGTCTGCTGTGGAAGAATATTTATTAGCTACCGTAACTAAACATCTGAGAAGGTGCGCAGGCGCCTCTAAATTCTTGTGTTGTACCATTTAACACCAGTAGTAAAAGTACAAATATTGTGCAGTCAATAACACTGGTTTTCCAGCACTGTAATTATCATGTTGTTGTGCAGAAAAGAAAGGAGAGATTGACAAACTGGCTGAAGAGTACATTGCCACTGTGAAGAACCTGGCCTCAGAACAGAGAGTGGAGCACCTGCAGAAGATCCAAAATGCCTACAGCAAGTGCAAAGAGTTCAGTGACGACAAAGTCCAGCTCGCAATGCAGACATATGAAATGGTCAGTCCAACACCGTCAGTTCTATGTGTTTCCTGTCGCTGTTGCCTGGTTTTGCATTAAGAGTTTTATGTAGTCAACATGTTGCAAATAGGTATTTTAAATCACATATTCTTGCACTAATGAGTATTATAAAATGTATTTCTTATTTGCAAATGAAACCATGCACAGGGCCAGGTTCTAATCTACATGATGTTCCTTCTACTGCAGGTGGACAAACATATCCGCAGACTAGATGCAGATCTGGCGCGATTTGAGAATGAGCTGAAAGAGAAACTGGAAGCGAGCGGCTACGAAAGTACAGAGGGAAGAGGAGTGAAAAGTAAGTTGTGTAACTGAAGGACTTTCATTGTAGAACATTGCAAAACCGATTGATGCACATCTATGAATGTCAATATTTTGTACAGAGGGTGAGTCCAGGGGGTTGAGAGAGAAGCGTGGATCCAGGGGAAGAGGACGGAAAGGTTCTGATGAAGATTCTCCCCGAAAGAAAAAGATCAAAAACAGGTACATTTGGGCTGCTGGCTCAGTCAGGACAAGGGTTTACTAGATGTCAGTGTCCAGAATTTAAATTACACATTTTTATCAGTCCTGAAAATCCTGTATTATTCATGGGTTATTAATTCAGATTAGCCTTACTAATTCAATGACTCACCAATTTGCTCCCCATTTAATCATGTTCACTTCTAATCCTAATGTATGTTGTTGGACTTCTAGCCCAGACTTGAGTGAGGCTCTGCTGCCCATGCAACCATCAGACGTTTTGGACATGCCAGTCGATCCCAATGAGCCTACATACTGCCTGTGCCATCAGGTGTCATATGGAGAGATGATTGGATGCGATAACCCAGACGTAGGTTTCCACTGGTTCTGTAAATTTAAATTGAACAAGTTTCTGTCTGTCTCTCTCAGCTAGAGAGTTTAATACTGAACTTGTTTCTCTTCCTTCAGTGTCCGATTGAGTGGTTCCACTTTGCTTGTGTTGATCTCACCACAAAACCCAAAGGAAAATGGTAAGAGCTTTGAATTAGTTCAAAGGCTGTTAATTGTTTATAAAAAAGAGGATCACTATTAAGGCAGACAGTTAATGGTTGTCCTCTCCTCCGAGTCTGAACATCTTTTGTCCCTCTCTCCCCTTCAAATCTCTCAGGTTTTGTCCGAGGTGCACCCAAGACAAGAAGAAGAAATGAGATTTCTTACCTTCAGAAGTACCTAACTAATATATGTGTTTTTGGTCTAGTTTAATAATGTAATATACTGTGTATACATGTATATATATTTCAGTTCCCATAACTCTCCATAGAAATGGTGGGCTATTTTAAAGGCCTACATCGGATTCAGAGTATGGCTACACGTGTGGCACCATTAGAGCCCTCTTTATGGATGTTATTCTGCCTGTGTCACTGGACAGCTCTCTTTGTCCAATACATCTAAAATAATGAATTCACCTGTATATTATTTGTGTACTCTGGGTAAATTAGTCCCGGCAGTGGAGAAAAGTTGCACAAATGATTACCAATCAGAAAGTCCTTCCTCTCAAGTCATATCGTGTATATATTGTTAGTACTAACATAAATCCTGGACTGTGGCTTTAGCATACTTGAAATATCAGTTTTATAAAGATCTATTTTTTAAACAAATTAACAGCCTGCTGAGAATTTACAAATTGAAACACCTAAATCCTTACCAATTTTTGGTGGTAAAAGGAATTATGTGTCAGATTTTCAGTTACCTACCTCCTTAGGGAATACATCAGCACTGCATAAATGACTGCAATTGATACCAGTGTAAAAAATGCGTTTTGATTAGCTTAAACCAAACAAGAAAAGCAATGTAAATTCATTCGTTATTGAGTTTAAAAAAACAAAAACCTACGACATTTTTGAATGTATTGTGGTACTAATGGTCAGTCAGTCAGTGTCTCTGAATGAGGTATTTAAGCACTTTGAATGAAATTTGCCCTGAAGAGGTTTGATACTGCAAGCTTGGTTTTATGATATAGTTTCTCATTTAAAACTCTGCCATAGTGAATCACTTCAAACCATATGGAAATATATATATAAACATATATGTTTTGTATGATATTATGAAACAATATTTTGTGGACACGTCATTTTCCAAAGAGATATTTGCTGTATTGCTTACTTACTGGTGTACACTCAAATTTTATTTAATAGGATTTTAGCCTCTTCTTTCATATTCAACTGTGAATATCACTCGTTTAGGTGTAAGCCACAAATAATAAAAGAGCCAAAGTCTTTGTATTTTGTATATTTCAGTATTTTATAACAAATAAATATTCACTATTATTCATGCATTATTTCATTCATTGCTGTTTGAAGCTTGTGATGTGCGTTTAAAATGTTATGTGGCACTTTTTGCCTACCATTTTAAACAGTCACTTTTTCTGAAACAATGGTCCAGTTACTTTTACAAATTAAAAACTTGCTGTTTTCAAAATTGTAGTTTTTCACAGAGTTGTTATTGTGTACTAAAACTGTCTAAACTACTCAATGCAAACTACTGAGTGAGGTCTGTAAATAATTCATGGACTCTGGAGAGGCTGAGTTGTCTGTTTTCAGTGCCACAGATGTTCAGCTCTTCCTGCTAGCAACTGTAATTTCAAGTACAGAGATTTCAATACTAGCTAGATGACGACGGGGGCTAACTGAGGAAATACTGTATGTGTTTCTGGTGCTTCCAGTTAAATGCCGTTATCAAAACAGTGAATGCAGGTACCTGCTGTATTTGTTGTCTGGGAATGTAGTTGCCACTGAACAACAGTTCTGAATTCTTACGAAGGTAATGACGTTCACTGTTGAAACTGTTCTAGAAATGTGTTGATTCAACTTTATGGAGGATTCGTGTTGTGTTATATTGAGAGATATTTAGTCTACCATTATTGGTGGAAATGGGGTGGGCAAAATAATAAAAACACTTCTCAGTATAATGTGGTATAATTCAACGGTGCTATAACTATGAATGCCTGAATGACTGTAAAATTGAATCAACACCTAATAAAACAGCAAACACTGAACATTATCTGATTCCTGAAGGTAGAACATATTGCAGTACTGTTGCATTAGTTGTAGGTACGTGTACCTAATAAACTGGAATGGACATACTTCACTGCATGCAGGAAGATATTTCCTAAAAAGAGTTATTCAACATCTGTGTATGACTTCAGATCAAGCACTGTAGTCAGCATTGCTGTGTCAGATTTCCCTGTCATTTCAGTACATCAGGTGATCTGCAGTCTGCGCTCTGAAAGGACAGAGAGAGGATTGGAGTTTCAAAATCCATCATCAGATTCTTCATCCCAGCTGCACTTTTCTTGTGTGGTCTTGCTGAAATCCATTTCCAGGTCGTACACAAAGTCGGGATCATCTTTGTGCCTCCGGTTCTTTTCAAACAATTCTTCCATTTGGCCCTTCTTGCGAGCCAGCTCCTCATCGTCCAGTTTGTTCAGGTCTTCGTCGGGGTCCAGGTTGAATGATGCCAGGCTGCGCTCCAAGCTGAAGCCCTGCATGTGATCTCTCAGGATGATGTGAAGCTTCTCCAGCTGGCTCTGGGACACCCCCTCCAGGTAGTCCCTGTGCCTGGGGTGGTTCTTCAGCCTTTCAGCAGCCATGCTGTAGTCTGGAGGTTAAAGGAGAAGAGGGCATCAAGGATTCAAACTGACCAAACCTCATCTGCCTATTAAGTTGCCTTTAATTATGCATCAGGTACAGTGCACACAGCTTAGTACAGGAGCAAAGCAGTATTTCACCCACCAATACCCCAGAAAAGTTATTTAGTGGTAATTTGATCAAGCACAATATATATACAAATGTATTTAAGGTTTTGATACAGGGCCTCAGGTTCAGGTAAAAAGGAAGGAGACCCCGTAAGGCCATTCTCCTTGCATAGTGTTTTAATGGTGCGTATTCATATTACAAACAAAGTACTGAGTAACTACTAAACCAAGTAAAGAAAGCTGTGTGCGTGTATGAGCCAAATAATATCTGTCTCGCCTTACCGGAATATTTGGAGAAGTTTCGCACAGGTATTATTCTTTTTCGTATTGTTTTGGTTTCCTTGTGTTCATAAATTAAAACTATAGAGGGAGGGCTGAACTGCACGCCACACCGCTTTGCCTCGAAACTCATCTCTGTATGTGAGCAGCAACCCTGCTTCAACCGGCCTCCGCCTGGAGTTCAGCGATACAACACTAAAACATTTTAAAACACTTTAAATGGGAATCAGCCAACCGAGCTTCAGACGTGATTAAGTTAGCTTTTAACGTTGCCTGGGTGCCTGACGTTGGTCGGTGTCGGACCTTGGCTGTCTTCGCCGAAGCCTGCCTATATTTACAGTAAATATTTTAAAGACCTATTGTTTCACACACAGTGGAGGTAATGATTTGTAGTTGATTTTCTAAACATCCTTTTTTTTTTTTTTTTTTTAAATATAATGATTACCTCAGAGCTTTCCCACAATGCCCGTTGATTGTTATTTATAGTTAGGCAGCGTCACAGCTCCCCTAGAACTACAAAGGGGTCCTTCAAGATCCTTTTCCGTAAACAATTTAAAACAGCACCCAGTGTTGTAGTTGTAGTAATAATACTAGAAATACTGGCTGTTAACAGCTTGGTCTAGTTCACCTTTACTAGTTTAATGTATTTTGTACTGCTTTCTGTGTTGGCTTGTTTATCGGCATGTCATTGTTTGGTGGAGACGGGTAAGATATACTGTGTCACCAAACGTTGAACTTAATGGCAGTGTAATGTTAATGGAGACGGGCTTCTTTTACAATGAATAACCAAACAAGTACAAAGAGACATAAGGATTAAGTTTGGAGTGTCAACACACTATAGGGAGCAAATATATATATAGCTATACAGTTTAAATGTAGAATTAATTTCCCTGTCCGAAAACATCTCATTATTATATTATTAATGTTACCATTATATTCTGGCATATTCTTTCTCATGCTTCATAATAAGGATAAAACAAATCAGCCATAGATGTATTATTACAGTTATAATGAAAAGGTCTGCTCTGTCCAGTCGTGTGGTCTTGGCCAATACCATTTCCATGTTTTTGTAGATGAGAACAATGAGGACCACTGTGGTCTGCTGAAGCAGCTGCTTGAATCCTCACCAGTTTCAGTGGAGATCAACAAGAAGGGTTTCCACAGGTATTGACAGTGCATTTCCAAACATGGAACAATAACCCACTTCAAGGCTCAACAAGTGATTTCTGGTGTGTTTTAGGGAGCTGGTAACCACTGTTGAGCTCATCCCAGATGTGCCCAGTGGGGTCAGAGTTTTGCTGGTTCATAGATGGCCCAGAGGTGTCTATCTTGATCCATACCAACTTGCATCTCTGAGTGATCAGAGTGATTGGCAGGTAAGACTGACACTGCCAAAACATAGCATATTTGTGGAAAAACCAATTACAAACCACATTCATCCACACAATGTATGAATGTATTGCTTTAACTATTTCATCTCTGTAAGATATTACTAGATTCAGGCATAGACCTTGAGGTGCCTGCTCACAAGACTTCAGGATTTGTCACCTATGTGTATCCCACCCCTGATGGACCAACTCCCAGCCTGGTAAAAGTAACAATTCCCATACATGGTCGCTACCATGAGCCTTCTTTTGACGGGAAAACATTCACATCTGTCGACATAGAACCTCCAGAGCTGCTGCTGCGGACTGAAAAATGTAATCATCTTTCTTGTATGGTCTCTTCTTAGAAACAAGTAATCAAGTATGTTTATAATATACCTTCCTGCAAGGAAACCAACATTTCAGCTCCTTCAAAATGTGCTTTGATATTTTTGCCAGCCTTGACTGATTCAGGACTGCAGGGTCCAATTCTAATAAATGCAAAGGGAAGTTAAAATACCTGATGATCCTTCAGAACGAGATTTAAGAGATAAATTGCCTTTTAAAATTAATATTGTTTTATTATTTAATTTATTTTTAGTAGCGGTAATAGTTGAATGTACCAAAAACTTGAATGGTTAAAACAATAACTTATGTTTATTGTCAGAAACACTGGATAGAAAATGTAGCTGATGGAGAAAGAAAATGAAGTGAGTGTTTGTCTTAATCCAAACCTCCTTCTTCCTTCTAGGTACGCAGCTCAACAACTTAGAGCCTCATATTGTCGTGGACGCCCCCTGTACTCCTGACAATTCAAGCACATGTCCATGGGTTAAACTCCTGCATCAGCAGGTGGTTCTCCTTATACGTCTTTTTATGACACTTACTGTTTATGTTTGACTTTTCTTATCACTCAAAACATATCTGTTATCCTGTAGGAGCAAGGCTCCATGGGTTTCCAGTTTCCAGTTGGTGACGGGTCTTTGGTGACGCCTGTATGCGGTGGAACTCTTCTAGTCACAATGATGTGCTGTGTGGCACTGTCTAAATACATGTGGGAACATCGAATCATTTAGACAGAGATGGTCTACATATCTTGTGTTAAACAGCTCAAGCTTATAGTTCTGTCTGATACCAGGATCCTTCTGGCATCACTAGGATCAAAGTCTTAGAACACCTTATCAGGTCTATTTTAAATCAGTCCAGGTTCCTGTGTGTGTCTTTTATATATTTTAATAAATAAAAATAATAATATGCAAAGATCTGTGGTGTTGTTTGGCCCTGATCAACTGTGTTGACAATGAGGTTTTGCTTTGCTATTGTTTTGTAACTGGTTTGTCAAAATGTCAGACTGAAAAGTGTAATTGCAGGGTCATAAAGATACAGTGCGTATGAACACAGCACCACAGACAGGGCTGGTGGAAAAATATTAGTCTGAAATCAAGTTCTATACTTCTTCCTTTGTCAAATCTTTTATTTTTATTAATTCGTTTAACATTGCAGAGTATGTGGATTGAGCATAACATATACAATGATTTGATAATTGTTGTATGTGTCCAAACAGAAGTTTGTGAATGTTTTTTTAATTTTGCTCAAATCCAGAAGAAGGCCAGAGGTCATGGTCAGCCACAGAGAAGCAAAGCTGATATGAAAAAGACCATAACAGTACTCTTCAGTCTGTCAGTAAAAACGTATGTTGTGAAGCCGCCAGTTCTGAAATGTAACTATTGACTCAAGTACAGCACTCCAGTAGTTTTGAGGTACATGTAGTGGACTTCAGTATTCCTATTTTGTTCTGCTTAATAGTAATACTACTACTCCACTACATTTTGAAGACAATATTATACTTTTTACTCCACTACATTTATTTGACAACATTAGTTACAAGTTACTTTGCTGATTCAGATTATTAATACAAAATATAAATCAACTAAGCTACTCAACAATATATAAGATTGCTGAAATTAGCCTCATATTTATAAGTTGTAACATTAGTGATCAATAAATATAATCCAGTATAATGTATTATTCTGAAAGAGGCCATTCTGTATAATGAGTACTCTTAGTTTTGGTACATATACGTATATTTAAATGCTAATACTTTCACTACACAGTGAATACTTATATTTCACTTAGTAACATAATTTGTTGAATGCTATGAAGCTAATGAAGCATAGCTGGAACTATATATATATATAAAATGCATTTATATATTGTTTTATTTCATTTTATGGTATTCTATAAATTGTATAATCTTTCTCTATGTGTGTACCATGAAGGACCTGCAAACATTCATTCATTTTTCCCATGTCATTCATTGCGCACTGCACATCACTTACTGTAATATTGAGTTTTTTTTATTATTTTTTATTACTGTACTTATTGTAATATTGTGTTTTTTTTTACTATTCTATTATAGGGTAATATTGTGTTTTTTGTTAC